GACCAGCAGTTCTGTTCTCCCCCTCTACTCTGCTCTCGTGAGACCCCACCTGCAGTTCTGAATCTAGCTCTGGGGCCCTCAACATCAGAAGGATATGGACCTGTAGGAATGAGTCCGGAGGAGGCTGCGAAGATGCTTAGAGTTGGAGCATCTCTGCTATGGGGACAGGCAAGAAGGCTCTGGGGAGACCTTACAGCACCTCCCAGTACCTGAAGGGGCTACAAGAAATCTGGGGGGGGGACTTTACAAGGGCAGGCAGTGACAGGACAAGGGGTAAGGGGCTTAAACTTAGTTTAGGGGCTTAAACTCTGCAAGAGGACAGATTTAGATTGAACATCAGAAAGAAGTTCTTCCCAGAGAGGGTGGTGAGGCACTGGAACAGGTTGCCCAGAGAAGCTGTGGATGCCCCATCCCTGGAAATGTCCAAGGCCAGGCTGGATGAGGCTTTGAGCAGCCTGGTCTAGTGGAAGGGGTCCCTCCCCGTGGCAGGGGGGGGGAACCTGATGATCTTTAAGGTCCTTTGCAACCCAAACCATTCCATGATTTCAGCAAGGAATGTGAGTGTAAGAGAGCTTTATAGGGATAGCAGAGAACAAGAGTTTTGGGTGCTTTCTTCGGACATTTTGAGATAAATAGCCAATTTTCAGAAAAATATTTTACACACACACACCCGCCTCCCTCTTTGAACCCCACTTCTAGGTTCAGGGTACGTAAAATACAGCCCATGTACTAAAGGACAGCCCACAGCTGCTGTGTGGGAACAGCAGGGAGAAGCTTGATCTCTGCAAGTGGAGCTTGTGCACGAGGGATTTCCAGGCAGGCAGGCAGGGCCAATGACCCTTGTGTTTGTACAGCGATGCTCAGTTAATCTCTGAAGAAGAATGATGTCTTTTTGTATGGAAGTCAGGTGCTGTTCAGGCAGCCTGCCATTGAAGACCTTTGCGTATGTGGTTTATTGATTTGCAGAACTCATTATGGTATTTCCACGTTTCTTAGCACCAGGACTTGACATTAAGTCCTCAGATAACCTGTGTTGTTGGATATTCCAGGCAAAATGAGAGGCAGGGTCAGGGAACTGCTGGAATACAGGAGCAGGCTGTTGGAGTGAGCAGAAGCAGGAATATAGGAGGGAGGAGGGGAGATCAAAGGCAGGAGTATTAGGTCAGAAGATGTTCTTGGGCAGATTCCCTTTTGTATTGCTTGCACATGCTTATAATCTGCTCTGCTGCTTGACTTCAGGTTGTTTTGTGGTTTTTATTTTTTCCAAACAATTTGTGGATGTCAGTGTCTCATACCTCTATAATCTATAGCTTTGTATTGAGCTCTCTAATATAAAAAAGATTTCAAGTTTCTCTGAAAAGGTGGCCAGGTCTGTATTACTGGTATGCTTGTGACAGACATAAGCACCTTATGTAAGGTGGCCAGGTCTGTATTACTGGTGTGCTTGTGACAGACAGGCCTTTCTCCACCATTCATGCTTCTTCATGAATGACTCCATAACTGAGGGATAGAGCACAGTGGCACATGAGCCAGTTTATACTAAGTGGAAGTTAAAAACAGAATGGAAAATGTGAAAGCTAATAAGGAAATACAGTCACATGCCAACAAACAGAAAAAGAGACATTTGGAAATAGTGTCACAGATGCAGATAAATTAAGATAAAGTCCTGCTGGTATTATTTATGGGCAGGACTCCTTTGTTTTACAGTGGAAAAATGTAAAAAACTACAGTAGTGAAGATTATTGGCAGGAGACTGCTCTTTACTTTCCCTAAAAGCCACACATTAGATAGCTTCCCATTCTGCAGTGTTTTTTGGGAGCGAGGTTCCGATCTCGTCCTACAGAAGACAAGAACACGAGCTTTTGGCCGCAGGGCCCAGCGCACGGTGGTCTCATAGCAAACCAGGGATTGCGAGGCTGAAGCAATGTTTAACGCTGCTCTGATTTTAATAATTAGCCAAAAGCCAGTTGCCATACTTTGAAGGGCGTGTTCTGTTTTGGAGGCATGCAGTGTGCCCCCTCTTTTCAGTACTCAGCCATTAAAAATGCACTGATTTTCAGGACTGACTGGCAAGTGGCTGTTATATGGGTCTGACCTTCATGTTTTTCTCTCCAGAAGAAAAATATGAAGTCGGCCACATTGCCAAGTAAAACGGAAGATGGGTTTGTTTCTGTGAAAAGGTCTTGAGAGAACCTTCCTGGCCTTATTTCCAGGGACCTGACGACCTGCTGGGGCAATAGCCCTTCTAGCTAGTAGGAGAGCCAAGACTGCAGGGTGAAAGCACAGAGCAGAGGATGGCAGGTTTACTCTCCAAGTAAAGGAGGAGATTATTCTTGTCTTGATAAAACCGTTGCATTTTCTCTCTGCCAGAGCAACACGCAATGAAGTGGTGTCAATATAATACACACAAAACACTGCTCTTGGATTCAATCCAAACTACTAAGTCCATCCTGTGAATATTATTGTAATAGATTTTTCCCCCTATGTTTTTATTTCCTCCCAACTATGCAAGTTGGAGAAGAGCGACTGACAGGGACTGCTCATTTCTCCCAGCAGCTGGCAGTGATCTGAGGATAATAATTTTCCCTGTGATTTTGCTAAGCTTTGGATTAAATCCACTGTTGTGCCATCTTAAATAGAGGATATCCAGCTTCGTTCTGCTTTTCCTGATTCAGAACTGGATTGTGAATGTGGCTGTCTCTCATTCCCAGCAAGTGCAGAGGCTTGCTCTCCAACCGCTTGGATATATAAAGGTATATATCGAGGTGGGACAGGTCCAGTGAAGAAGGAGGGTTGTGGTCCCATCAGTGGAGACTCTTTCCACCATCCTCTGGAAGTCTCCTAAACGGGGTTTCTGATACCTCTCTGTCTCTGGTTTTTTTTTGTCCTGAAAATTGTTTTGGACAACCTTTCCAAAAGGAAATTCTGGTGCTGGGGACACATTTTGCTTTTTGTTGAAGTGCATATTTTTGATTGAATGAATAAAAGTTTTGCTGCAGAAAAGCTTTCCCTCTCTAGGGTGCCTGTGTGAGCACTAAGCCTGACCAGAGGTGGTTCTGCCCTTGGCAGCGGGCACAAGTAGAGTTAATTATATGTGGACCAGGTTCAGTGACTGCATTTTAAAAAGCTCTAGATAAGATATTAGATTGGCAAAAAAGCAGCACTGTGGCACAACAGCCGCAGAAGTTGTGTGCTGTGGTGAACCAGTGCATGTGAAATCTCTCTCTAAAAAGATTTCAGCACTTCATATGACCCCTGCTAATATTTATTTTTAAATGACGCTTTGTGTCAGCTGTCTCCGCTCCACACTGCCCTCGGCTATACTCAAGTCTGGACTGTTTTCCAGTCAGCGTGAAGTGGACTTTGCTGCCTGATTTGAACTGTTGACTTGTCCTGATAGTTTTTGTTGGCAACAAATATAGCAATGAGCTGCGGCCGTGATTTCTGCCAGCCTTTGGGTCTGTTTTCCGAATTCTGAAGCCAGTGACCTAGCTGAACTGATATCTCAGAGATGCCTTTCATAGGTACTACAGAAAAAGATTTATTTTGAGTTTTGTTTGTTTGGTTGGTTTTGGGTGGTTTTTTTTTTTTCCCCGTATAATCTGGCAGACAGCAGGATATGAGGGTTTGAAGAGAAGGTGCAGGTGTGATCAGTCGGTGGGGATGTTGCCTGTAACACATAAGGGCATAGGTGTTGACACCTTAAATGTGTTAAACAGAGCCTGTACTGGTACTCTACTAATATTTTCCTTTCTGCCACTGCAGATATACCTGAAGGTAGTAGAATTAGTAAAAACAACTACTTTTTCTAGTGTGCTGCCCTCTGACTGCAATGGGGAGTTTCTGAAATTGCAATCTGTCTATTCATCAAAAAGCTGAATATTGGCAGGTATCGTTTTCAACATTATAGCTGGCCCTGCAGTTACACCACTTCCCAAAAGACCTCAAGGTCCCTTTCTTAATGCACTCCTCTACTCTGACTGGCAAACTGAACAGAAAGGCTTTTTGCCTACCTAAAAATACACCAATCTCATAAAATGAGCAGTAACTGCTGTTAGGAAGTCACTGGTCGCCCAGGTCATTGGAGGCGGCTCCACACGGTGGAGTTGACAGGTTTTGTCCCACACAATGTGCCATTTTCAGTCCAGCAAGGCTTAAATTATTTTGTATTTGCACAGACTCTCAACTCTCTCTGTTTTAGAGCCTAAATGAACAACCTGCAGCATATATTCTGCAGGGATGGCTGACAGCAACTTATTAATCATATTCCTTTCCCAGGCCCAGACAGTGTAGGAGTGACTGACCTTCCATGTTGCATTAGACAACTTTAATATTAAAGGAACAGGAAAACATACTAAGTAAGACAAACACGTAAAGGCTGGCTGCACCATGGCTCCTGGAAGTCTGAACACTGCAGAAATTTTCTTGAAAATATACCTGTTCACATGCAAAAGACCAAAAAAGACCTTTCCCTTGCAACTGCTGTCAGTGCAATGAATAAACTACTGAAAACTTAACCTGCCTGCCCCAATTCTTTGGTTCATGATAGACAGAGCTTATGTAAATTGTCACTATGTGATGTTATAGAAAATATTGTGTTCTATATAGTATTTAAAGGAATGAAGTTATCTGCAGGACAGCAAATGCTAGGTGGCTGCCTGGTGATTACAGCTGTGCTGACTGATTAAGAAGGAGAGCAAAATGCTCTCCTACACAACTTAAAGGAACTTGTGGGAATCTGACCCATGGGCATAGCTGGGTTAAGGGTAATGCTTCCAGTTTAGAATTTTCTTAAGAAGGAATATGCAGGTTAATCATGCCTAGTTTCTCTCCATTGCTGTCACTAGTAGAGCAAAGTCTTATTTTCTAGGGTTTCAAATTCCAAATGGAGGGTCGAGTGAAGCCTGTGAGAAGAGTTAGACCTAAAGAAGAGTTCTGAGATGCAATTTGTGTATCTGGACCTACACTAACCTCTCACACTCTCTTCCCCTTTTTTGTAGGCAACATCTTTGTCGTCAGTTTGTCTGTTGCAGACCTCGTAGTTGCGGTTTATCCATACCCTCTGATCCTGAGTGCCATTTTCCATAATGGATGGACCATGGGAAATGTTCACTGCCAGATAAGCGGGTTCCTGATGGGCTTAAGTGTCATCGGATCCATTTTCAACATCACAGCGATCGCAATCAACCGCTACTGCTACATCTGCCACAGCCTTCGGTATGATAAGCTCTTCAATCTGAAGAACACCTGCTGCTATCTCTGCCTGACCTGGACACTCACGGTGGTGGCAATTGTGCCAAACTTCTTTGTTGGCTCCTTGCAGTATGACCCCCGGATTTACTCCTGCACCTTTGCCCAGACGGTGAGTACATCATACACCATCACAGTGGTGGTGGTTCACTTTATCGTCCCACTCTCCATCGTGACGTTTTGCTACCTACGGATCTGGATTTTGGTGATACAAGTCAAACACCGGGTGAGACAAGACTGTAAGCAGAAGCTCAGGGCAGCTGATATCCGGAATTTCTTGACTATGTTTGTGGTTTTTGTCCTTTTTGCTGTGTGCTGGGGACCGTTAAACTTTATTGGCCTTGCTGTTTCAATTAATCCTTCAAAAGTGCAGCCACACATTCCAGAATGGCTTTTCATCCTGAGCTATTTTATGGCCTATTTTAACAGCTGCCTCAATGCTGTGATCTACGGGCTTCTTAACCAGAATTTCCGGAAGGAGTACAAAAGGATACTGCTGACACTCCGGACTCCCAGGTTGCTGTTCATTGATGTGTCCAAGGGAGGCACAGAAGGGATGAAAAGCAAGCCATCTCCAGCTGTAACAAACAACAACAACCAAGCTGAAATACATTTATGAGCCAGACTAGTACTATTTATTCTGGATTACCGTTGTGTATATAATATATAAGAGCCTTTCTGTGTGTGCATTTCACAGCTGGTGTTGCTGGGCCCCTCATGCAAGGAAGGAATCTGCTACCTTTCATGCTTAGCCTTCATCAAGGCTTTGAGTATGGATTTTCAGAATGGAAATGACTGATCTTTACTTTTTTTCTTTCCATATGCCATCTTTCACTGTGTGCCTGATTAATAGGTTTGGTTGCTTTTGACACAAGCATGCCAATACCCTTGAAAAGGGAAGCGTTCAGATTGCATGGAGAAATGCAGTTATGCTTGAAATGTAACCTTCAAGAGCCAGCGGAATAGTCATGTATTACGAGACTTTCTCCCCTCCCTCTGAATTCTATTTTTTTAGCATTAATATAACCCAAACTATAGCAAACAAAGTGTTAAACTGCATGACTTTTTACCTTTTCAACTAGGTAATAGTATTAGCCAACAGGCATACATATGGCCATGATGGCTTCTACTGCGTGTGCACTTGTTTTCCTTTTCTTTTAAGGTTTAGAAAGTAGCCTGGGCTAGATGTGAGGCAGGTAAAAGCCAGACCTAGTGAATGTCTGACGCACTCATTTTAATTGAATATCTACAGATATTAAGTACCCTTGCACTCTCCTTCCCAGGCCATGAGTAAGAGTATAACAGATGACATAATCTAATTGCAGGAAGATACTTGGAGCCTGATTCTAATTTAGGCAGTATCCTGTCATGGCCAGCATTCATTCCAAACGTCTATCAGAAGTCCCTGCTACATGAACATCATAAAAAAAAGAGGTGAACATAGCAGATTCCCACTTGTTTAATGCAGGTGCTGGCTTTTAAGTTCCAGTAATACTTAGACTTGCAGACAAAGGGAGAAGGGGAAGTGTTTGTTTCAAAAATCTCTCCTTTTGCCCACCACATAACATGAATTTGATGGAGGAAAAAAAAAACGGAGATTTTTTTTTCCATTTTATTCATGTACAAAGCTGTAACTAATTCATGGAGCTGAGAGAGGGAAGACGCTGAAATATATTCATGTACCAGTTCTTAGTTAAAGCCTGAACTCTCTTTGTCACTGGAAACAATGTCCTGAAGTGCTGGGAAGGACTGTATCACATTACAAACAAGCACACAATGCTGATTCTTTAATGGTGTGTGTGGGGTGACGGGCAGCTGTCTGTAAATATGACTTCTCTTTTTTTCTTAGCTTCACTGTGAATTCATCTCCTTATTGTTTTAAATGTATGCATCCTGCTTTGAAACAGTTCCATAAAAATCAACAGGTAAAACTCCCCTGGTGCAACTCTGCCTTCAAGCTAGCAAACCTGGCTTGATGCTGGTGTGCTGAGGGGCACGGTGGGAGCTGTGCGATGGAGAGGAGCAGGTCTGAGCCTCGTGGGTCTAACGAGGACGGCAGTCAGCCCTGCTCCTGATCAGAGTGCAGCCTTCTCTCTTTGATCACAGTCAAAGCAGGACTAGTTTCCAGGGCTGAACCCTGAGACACAGAACCAGACTTTGCCATAGCATGTCGGTGCCTAGAGATGGAGGTACGTAGGATTTACAAAAACCCTGGGCAGGTTAAGTCCCTAATCCTTAGTAAAGTTAGAAAGCCATTTGTGCATCGCTTGCTGAAAGCAACTTGTTGCTGAATTTCCCTTCTGCTGATTTCTGGGGGGAAGAGGAACTGAGAGAATAATAAGCCCCTTTATGAAGTGGGCCAAGAAGCATTGCACAGCGCATGGGTTCAGGGAGAACTGCAGTGTGCCCCGTGGCGAAGGTTGCTGCAATGCAAGGGCAGGCTCTGCATTTATGGGGCACCCTGGCACTTTGTGATGTTTCAAACTTGAACATCTCAGCCACTTCAGATGATTATTGTTTTGAAGCGCACCGCAGCCAGCCTCCCATAATAGGAATCAAACTGAGTTCTGTTTTGGCCTCTTAATCTGCCTGAGCATGGCCAAATAAAGGTATCTTGACCCTCAGATATAATGCAGCCCGTTTCCCTTCCAGCAAAACCAGTCTGGATGAATTCACACCATTCCATGCAAACAAAATAATTTTGAGTCAAACTTGGATATGAAAAGCACCGAGGAATTCATAACCACAGGGAGTGTTTGTCCCGCCGCACCAAGGAGATGTCGCGTGTTCCGTGACTTCTCTTCAAAGTTCTTTGCAATTAGCCACAACAGTGTTAGTTAGACATAGGAAAAATAAAATTAGGAAATAATTTTAAGCATCTAGCGCCAAGCCAAATATACTCCTTTAAGACAATCATGAAGAATCTTGTACAGGTTTGCCAAATATCTCAAATGCCCCACAGCTGGGGTTTCATCCTATGGATCCTTGTTGTTTTAACTGAGTGTTCAGTGAACGCGACGTGGTATTTTTTTTTTTCCTTAAGCTTGTATTTGCACTATTTCTTATTCAGGCTCCAAAGTAACAGCCAGCCAGCATTTGAACCAAACCAAATAAGCCAAAGAAGTCCCAAACAGGCAAGCTGTGGGAGTCTTTGCTAGCACCTGGTAGGAAGGGGAGTGGCAGGAGCATGATACCAAACTATGCAAAATGATAGGGGGATCTGCTCATCGGCTGTTGGCTCTGAGCCTGACTCCTGCCCAGGTCTTTGCAGGGGACAGGCTAAGTACCTCCTGTGCTGCGGTGGGTCCTGAGCAGCTCCCTGCACATGCAGACCCTGCCACCACCCTGTGGGGTGGGGATGGGTCTGCGATGGGTGCCGTTCATCTAACAGCATGGAGCTATGCAAAATGATAGGGGGATCTGCTCATCGGCTGTTGGCTCTGAGCCTGACTCCTGCCCAGGTCTTTGCAGGGGACAGGCTAAGTACCTCCTGTGCTGCGGTGGGTCCTGAGCAGCTCCCTGCACATGCAGACCCTGCCACCACCCTGTGGGGTGGGGATGGGTCTGCGATGGGTGCCGTTCATCTAACAGCATGGAGAGCTTGCCCTAGCAGGACCCGTTCAGAAGTGCTTTGGGTGTCCCAGTATAAGTCAGGGCTGCCCAAGAATGAGCCTGGAGCTGGAATGATTCGGCTGCCGTGGTTGGAGTCCTGAGCTCAGTCCTGCTGGAGCTGAGGTTTGCAATATGAAACACGAAAAGCAGGGAACGTGGCTTCAAACAGAAACCACTGTGCCATTTCTAGCACTTTGATACAGAGACAATGCTTAGGATAGGATAGATTTTTATACTGATTTATTTTAAGACTGCCCAAGCAGCTCCTTATTTTTATGTTAAGAAATGGTTAACAGGGTACAGAGAGTTTATTTTGTTAACATTTGTTTACAGAAAAAGCGAAATGTGTCTTACACTGGGAATCCTGAGCACTGTCAGAGTTTCCTTGTGGGAAACTGGCTTTAATCCAAAATTGAGCTTTCATGGAGATCTACAGCTTAAACCATGCTCTGCCAATTCCACCTGGTGTGTACCTGGCCTTAAGTCTCAGAAATAACACTGAGATCTCCTTTAAACTGGTTTTAAATCACTTGCTCTGGATTTGACCTGTTGGTGTTGAATGCCTATTCTAGCCCCAAACTCTAAAATTGTCAGAGTGGACATAGATCTAGGGAGAGGCCGTATTGCTGCAGAGGGAGATCAATCTCTTGCCACAAAGAAATATTTTTGGATGTTGCCAATGAATGTAGTTTAATATATTTAAGAAGAATGTAACCAATATATTTATATATAAATATGCATTGTATATGCCATTTCCATTTTATAATTTGGTTAAAAACCCTTCAATATACTTCCCTATTTTTGTTCATAAAGTAGATTCATTCCTTTTACCTGATAAAACTGTAATAAATCTGCCATTGGACTACTTACTGATTTTTTTTCCCCACTTGCATTTATTTTTTAATAAATATTTGGAACAACAGCTTGGGTTTGGTGACTCCCAGGAAGCAGATTGAATTGACAAATATAATTGAGTTCAGGTGAACCGCAGCTGCCCAGCTCAAACCTGGAAGAGAATGTACATCTGGGACATCTCCTTGGATTTACGTGTTTTTCTTCCACCTGCCCGTGAGACAGCTGCCTGATGCACTACAGCCTCACTCATCAGGGAAGAAACTTCCTCCATACGGCCAACGGTCTCATTGCCGTGTGTCCCTCCAAGGCCCTTTGCCTTTCTTGTGTCCGCATCTATCCATTGGGTGCTATGGAAGCAAAGACTATGCCGCATCCGTTTCCTTACCCCACAAAGTGCATTGCAGCTGGGAGGGAAAGCACAGCCAAGGTGTGAATGCGATGGTGTGGGAGCCAGGGCAGCTGGAGGTCAGGGCACGAGGTGGCATTTGGGTTGTAGGGAGGACTGGGGACAGAGAGATTCCCCCTGGGCTGGAGGCAGAGTGACAGGTGCCACATACTTGGTCTCCATCGAGGAGCTTTGTGAGGATGAGGACTGCTGTATCCAAGATGGGGAGTCTCAGTGCCACTTCTGAAGTGGGCATGATGGGATTATGGAGGGTCGTTGTAACTGCAACTTGAACTTCCTATTTGATTTTTTACACAGACCAAGTGCCTTCTTCCTGTTTCCTAACCAGACGCCATGTGTAGTCACGGTGTTAAGATAGTAAAGGCTGAGATTATCCATTAAAACAAAACATTGCTGGACAACCATGGAGCAGTTGTGTTGCATAAACAATCACTGTTCCTTCATTGACATCCCAGAGCAGTACTGCTACTTTTATTGCTAATCTTTTCCGACAGGCACTGGACTTCATCTGCTGCTTTCACAGTAAAGCCTGCAATGCTCAGTGATATGACACGCTGAAAGCAATGTTTATGATAGTTACAGATCCCAAAATGTCCGTCCGAGTAGAGCTGCTAGAAAACCCTTGCCTGGGCTTGTACCTGTTATTTCTTCTACGTGGCACTGAATTAATTGACCTGTCAGAAGTGAGGTAGTCTTATTTATTTACTTATTTGCCATGAAGTGTAGCTGGCAGATACGATACAGCT